AAAAAGTACCACAACAGCAATAATAACACTGAATATCAAGCATGTTTTGAAATAAGTGATACTCACAAGGGAACCTGCAAGAACGCCACAAGTTTCAAGATTTTTATCTGTGTTTGACTTGGCTAGCTTCATGAAACATTCCATCAGTTGTGTAGACTGGATAAAATGTATAAATAGAATGAGTATTCATCAACTCAAGAACCTGACTGCAAAGTATCAATTAAGCAAGCAAAAGAAGAGGTGTTCTTCCATATAAATCAAGCTAAATGGAACAAATAAGCAAACACTGAAATATAAAATGTACAAACAGTACAATGTGCAATTGTAGCGGATCTTCGGAGCAATTTAAACCATCACTGGAAGACTTTTCCATCATACATTCTCTTTCGGTAGCTGGAGTTGATCTCGGGACCAGATCCTGTACATCTGCTAGGACAGGAGGTGGTTCAGGTTGTCTAATAATTTCTTCAAGAGGAAGGCAATCAATAGTTTCAAAAGAAACCAGATCTGGAGTTGATCTCGGGATCAGATCCTGTACATCTGCTAGGACAGGAGGTGGTTCAGGTTGTTTAATAATTTCTTCTTGAGGAAGGCTGTCAACAGTTTCAAAAGAAATCAGAGAATCAATTTCTTGAGTCTGAAACGTTTGATTTTCTTTTGCTGGCAGAACTACAGATTCCAAAGTGAATCTTTCTCGCTCCAAGTTGTCATCATCCTTTCTCATCGTAGTCCCAAAAGGCTGCTCAAGACAGCTATCCCGATCATGGATATAAACCATATTTGTTAGTCAGCATACGAGTGTAGAAAAGAGAGAACATATACAAATACTACCTATAAGCAATTAGAGATTTTGAAAAATCAAGTTTCATGGTTGTAATTTCACGTCTTTCACAAGGCATTATCCCATAAAAAAAATTAAATTAAATGAAGATCTGATAATTAAGAAATTCAATATGAAATATATGGTACTTCTATATTTTTAAAAAGAGGTCTAACCTTGGGGCCTGAAAGGGAGTCAAGTCTAAATTGCTTGGATATTGTACCTGCATTTAGGGTATAAAGTTGTAAAACTACATATATAGTACAAAATGTATAGAGAGAGATTGTAATACCACCTTATAATTACTACTAGGAGGTTGCCACTGTCCACGAAGCCCATTTGGACCCAATATAGAATGCCTAGCAAGAGTTTCAGCCTTTGGGCGAGGGATACTCAGTGATCTGTGAAAAACATATAGAAGAA